GGGGGGGGGGGGGGGGGGGGGGGGGGACCTGTGGCAATTGCTACGAGTTCACCACCAACCTCACCTCTACCACCACCATCCCTGCTGCTAGAACTCACGTCTGACGTCGACCAAGTCAGTGAGTGAACAACACCCGTTGAACCATCTGAGCCGCTATATATATATATATTAGCGGCTCAGCATGGTTCAACAGTGAAGGCCCTCTTAGCTATATATATATATATAGCGGCTCAGCATGGTTCAACAGGTGTTGTTCACTCACTGACTTGTTCGACGTCAGACGTTAGTCCTAGCAGCAGGGATGGTGGTGGTAGAGGTGAGGTTGGTGGTGAACTCGTAGCAATTGCCACACTTAGCTACAACAATAATGTCGAAACACGTTTGTATCCGGCTGACCACTTTCCGAAAGGAACAGCACGCGCGTAACCAGCCTGGCGTAACCGAACACACAAAAGTGGTACGTACATACGCGTCGACAAAAAGGGCAATGACGTGAAACCGCTTCAAAAGGGTGGTGCATACGCGTCGTTCAAAGGGCAATGACGTGAAACCGATTCAAAAGGGTCGTGGACCTGCAGGGCTTCGATCCCCGTACCCCCCGCATGCTGAGCGGGTGCTCTACCAATTGAGCTACAAGCCCATGTTATTGAGACTCTGTTAACGGCAACTTACATTTGAAGCTACTTTTCGGAGACAGTGCACGGAGACTGACGCGTTTAAAGACGAGAAGAGGCGAGCTGCTGACGTACTCCCGGGCCCGCGCATCTCGGCTGCTCGGCTGCTCGTCTCAGCCTGCGACGGGTCTCGTGCATCTCGTCTCAGCCTGCAGTTCTCTCGTGCATCTCGGGGTCGTCACAAGTCTGTGCGTGGATGCGCCTCGCACTGGCGGCGCTGCTCGTCTCGGCCTGCGCGGCCGCCTACGCCGGCAGCCGCGCGCGCGCGCCGCTCCGGCCGCGCGCCGCACCGCGCGCTGACGGCTCGCCAACCGCGAGAGCCTACGATGACGTGTTCGCACCGGCCGCACTTCGCGAGGTGCAGGCGCTCGCGCGAGTGCTTGGGGCCGACCGGCACACGTTCGAGCTGGGCTCCCCAAACGACGCGCTCGAAGGCGCGATCGACAGCTTGGCGCGAGAGTTGCGCGCACGCGAGCTGCCGCTGCGAGCTACGCCGCTGCACGTCGAGTACTGGGCGCGTGAGAACTGGATGCATCTAGAGGCTCACCGAGACTGCGACGAGTTTCTCAACGGGGTCGGCTCGCCCGGGTCCGAAACTGTTTCGGCGGGGCCGCTGGTCGCGAGGCTGCGCTACCCTGCCTCAGCGCACGTGCTCTATCTGAACGTTGGCGCGGAGGTGCGCGGACCCACTTGCGTCTTCGAGGACGACGAGGACGTGCCCACCTCACCTTTACGACCTGCCTCCAACGGCCTCGTCCCAGCATTGGTGGGCGCTGAGGCAGCGGCCGCGGCCATGGCCGCCCACGAGCCGACCGCAGTGCGCCTGCTCCCGCTCTTTAAGCGCATGCACGTCGTGCCCGCCAGAACCGGACGGCTCCTCCGGTTCCGAGGAGATTGCATGCACGGGGTCCCGCGTCCGTACGATGCCTACCTCGCGGAGGGCGAGGCGGCGACGACTCGCGGCTTTGGCGGCGAGGCGGCGGCACTCAGCCGCCAGGTATTGCTATTCAACGTGTGGGAGTCAAGTCCCCCGCTCGATGTCCCCCCGCTGCCCAAGCCGAACCCTGGCCTGAGCCTCCGCCTGCCTCCGCCCACCGACTTGGCCGCCGAGCCCGCCGCCGCCTCCGCCAACGGTAGCGAAGACGAGCGCGTGGCGGCTCCGCGCTGCCGCGCCATGGGCGACTGGCGCGACGCGGCGCGTGTGGACGTGCGGCCGAGGCTGTGGGTATGGCCGCCGGCCGCCGCGTCCGCGGTGCCGCTCCAGGTTTCTCTGCTCGGCCCCGCATGGCGACGCGGCTACCGCTCGCGCGTATTTCTAGTGCGCGCGCCGCCTGGCGTGCGCGCAGCGTTGTGCGCGGAAGACGCGCACTCGGTTGTGCATCTCGATGGGCTGACTGGCGTGCTCGTGCGCGCGGCGCGCCTCGCGTGGAGGCTCTCAACGCCCAGGGAAGCGGCGATGGCCCCGCTGTCGGACTCAGACGCAGACCCTGGTTGATGCCATCATAGAGACCTCAGCGCCGCTGTCGCTTGGACTTAATATTGGTATCGCACCTCGCCAAGCCAGTTAAATACTGCCCTGGCTGCTACTTATTGACACAACTATTAGTTATTTAGCACGGAATTTGTTTGAAGCTCACCAACTTACGTCTGAATTATGTGACTATGTCAGTTTTATTTATAAGAACTAACTAAGAACTATCTAAGTTAATCAAGAACTATCTAAGTTAATCAAGAACCTAACTTTATGTTTGAAGTTTTTGTGTTTGAAGTTTTTGTTTTCTACGTATAACTAACTAGACTAAGTAGATTCAGACGAAATTATAATAATTATGAATATTTTTTTGATGCTGTAGTTACTCAGAATAGCTTGCAAACAAATCACTGTGAGGAGAGTGATGTGCCCTGACTGACGTGATCCGGGCCCACTAAGGTCTTAACGAGTCCGACAGTGCGAGTCCGACAGTGTGACCACAACTTCGTCCGCGTACTGTAGTTGTGGTCACACTTTTTGCGTTTCTTTTTGTGGCGAAACGAACCAACTAATCAGCTAGTTACTGCGATTTATACTTGGTTGAGAAATACATAGAATCGTAATATTTATAATTATAGCGATGATAGTTACATGCCATCCGACCGACGTAAACCGGCTAGCCTGCAAGTGTCGAGAAACGGCGCGCGCGCCTCGAGCTCCGCACTCACAGTCACGCACTCAGCCAGCTAGTCGTGATCAGCCAGCCAGTGACTCTCCAGCTCTCCCAGTCTCCGTCAGCACCCGGACTCCCAGCCAGTGACTGAGCAAGCTTCCGAGTCATTCTCTTAGGCTAGCCCAGCTCTCTCCCGCTCTCACTGGCTCGTGCGCAGGCTGCGCGCGTTGGGGACCTGCAGGGCGCCCGTGGGGCTCCTCAAGCCAGACGGCGGCAACGTGGCACCCGAGGCGGAGGAGAAGCCGCTGGGGCTCTTGCCCGGCGCGCCCTGCCTGCTCTCCCCGCTCTCACGCACGCTGCTCGGCTCGGCGGACCGGCGGTGGGGGCGGGAGGGCGGGCTCTGCGCGGGGAAGTGGCGCGCAGGTGCGCTGCGGAGGAAGTCGACCGAGCCC